TAGAAGGAATTTGGAAGTTGTCCCTTCATTTCTATCTTTTTGAATAAATTAAGTAGTATAGGTTGTAGATCTCCCTTAAATGTCTGGTAGAATTCTGCTGTAAATCCATCTGGTCCTAGGCTTTTTTTATTTGGGAGGTTTTGTATGACTCTTTCAATTTCCTTATGTGTTATGGGTCTGTTTAAGCTGTTAATCTGGCTTGGTTTAGTTTTGGTTGTTCCCATGCTTTTAGATACCCGCCCACTTCTTTTAGGTTTTTAAATTTAGTAGCACATAGGTTTTTAAAGTATTCTCCTATAATGTTCTGGGTCTTTTTGGTGTCTGTTGTGAGGTTTCCCTTTTTATCTCTGATTTTGTTGATTTGGAGGTGCTCTTTCTTTGTTTTGGTTAACTGGGATACTGGTCTGTCAATCTTATTTATCTTTTCAAAGATCCAGCTCTTGGATTCGTTCATATTTTGTATTGTTTTCTTTGTTTTTATTTCAGTAATTTCTGCTCTGATTTTTGTTATTTCTTTTGTCTGCTGGGTTTGGGTTTCATTTGTTGTTGCTTTTCAAGTGTCTTGAGTTGCAGTGTTAAGTCATTTATTTTTGTTCTTTCTGTTTTTTTTTTTTATGAAGGCACTTAGAGCTATAAACTTCCCTCTAAAGACTGCTTTCAACATATCCCAGAGGTTTTGTTGTGTTGTATTGTCCTTTCCATTGCATTCCAGAATTACTTTTATTTCTTTCTTAATTTCTTTTTTGACTCATTCATCATTCATTAGTGTGTTTTTTAATCTCCATGCGTTCATGTAGTTACTAGGGTTTCTTCTTGTGTTGATTTTAATCTTTATTGCATTGTGGTCTGATAGAATGCATGGAATTATTTCAATCTTTTTGGATTTGTTGAGGCTTTTTTGTGCCCCAGTATATGGTCGATTTTGGAGAAAGTTCCATGGGGCCCTGAATAGAAGTATATTCTTTGGTGCTTGGGTGGAATACTCGGTAGATATCTGTTAAGTCCATTTGATATATGGTTTTGTTTAATTCAGATGTCTCTCTGTTAAGTCTCTGGTCTGTTGACCTATCTAATGGAGATAGTGGGGTATTGAAGTCCCCTACTATTAATGAGTTGGGGTTAATTTGGGTCTTAAAGTCCTGTAGTACTGTTTTTATGAAGTTGGGTGCACCAGAGTTTGGTGAATATATCTTCATGATTGTAATATCTTTATTCTGTTGTTCCTTTGATCAGAATGAAGTGGCCCTCTTTATCTCTTCTGATTAGTTTTATTTTAAAGTCTATTTTGTCACATATTAGAATTGCTACGCCTGCTTTTTTCTTAGTACCATTTGCTTGATGTATTTTTTTCCATCCTTTCATCTTAAGGTAGGGCCTGTCCTTGAAAGTGAGATCATTTTCTTGCAGACAACAAAAAGATGGGTTTTGTTTCTTAGTCCCTTCAACTAGCCTGTGTCTTTTGACTGGGGAGTTCTGTCCATTGCTATTTAATGTTATTAATGAAAGATGTGTATCGAATCCTGTTATTTTTATTTCTGTTCACATTCTTGGTATAGTTGTGCATTTCTACAGTTGTACCTTCACTGAGTTTCTTTACATAACCCTTTGGCTATAGTCATTCCTTTCTTCAGCTCTTTGTATTGTTTCAAGAACTCTCTGAAGGGCTGGGGACATGAATTCTTTCAGCCTATTTATGTCATGGAAGATTTTTCTTTCCACTTCGACTATGATAGAAATTTTGGCTGTGTAAAGTATTCTGGATTGGCATCTGTGGTCATTTTGAAGTGGGAATACTTTGTTCCAGGATCTTCTGTCTTTCATAGTTTGCAGTGAAATGTCAGCTGTAATTCAGATGGGGTTTCCTTTATATGTGACTTTTTTTTCTTTTCTTTTCTTTTTTGTTTTGCAGCTTTCAGTATTTTCTCATTGTTCTGTATGTTTTGTGTTTTTACTATGATGTGCCATGGAGAGTTTCTTTTCTGGTCCTGTCTATTTGGTGTTTTATATGCTTCTTGTATTTGTATGGGCATGTCTTTCCTTAATTTTGGGAAATTTTCTTCTACAATCCTGTTGAAGATCTGGTCCATACCTTTATCTTGAGATTTTTTTTCCTTCCTGTATGCCTATGATTTGTAATTTTTGGCCTTTTCTATGGTGTCACACAATTCCTGCATGTTCCATTCTTGTTTTTTATTAAATTTTTCATAACCTTTGCTTGAGTGGTCTAATTTGTCCAGTTTATCTTCCAGTCTTCATATTCTGTTTTCCATTTCAATCATCCTATTGGTGAGGCTTTCTCCTGTCATTTCTAATTGGCTTACTCATTTCTAAATGTCCTTCTTCATTTCAGCCTGAGTATTCTTCAATATTTCTCTTTTCTGAATTCATTCAGAAGTTTATCCCTATCTTCTTTAAGTTCTTTGATTTCTTTGTGTGTTCTTTAAATTCACTGAATTCTTTTGTTGTTTATAATTTTTCTTTTTGGTTCCATGTCCTGTGTTATCTCTAGGGGGGGTTCTCATTGTCCTCCTCTAGGGGACTGTTGGTACTTGGTTGGGATAAATTATTTTCTTTTTAATGTTATTTTTTCTCTGTGACTTTTACATGTTGATTTCTTTTTTAGTTTCTGATTCTTGTGTGAGACTGAAGCTTTCTTTTTTTGAGTTTAGGTCTGCTCTTTTTTTTAAGCTTTATGTGCCTTTTTGTGGCTTACTTGTTGGGCATGAAAAGCTGGTTGGTCTAGGCTTCAGGTTCTCTCTTTCATTTTATATTGGAGTGGCCACATTGCTTTTGTCTTCAGGAGTTCCCACAGAGGCCCAAGTTGGATTAGGATCAGATGCTCTTAGGCTTCCTCCTATGGTCTGGATCCCTCAAGGAAATGTGCTGTTCTCAGGAATTTGGGGGCTGGGCTGGCCTGGGAGCAGGGCCCAGGAAAGATGCTGGTCCCAGGAAGCTGGTGGTGCTGCCACCCAGCAATGCAAAAAGAGGTGGAGGCAGGAAGAGGCCCCAATGGCTCCTGGGGACTCCTGGGAGGACCTGGGTTGGTCAGGATGCAAAGAATCAGGAAACTCTGGGGACTCTTGGCCAAGAGGTCAGCCCAGGGATCTGGGGTGCAAAGACAAGAAATGGGTCAGTACCCAGGTCAGGATGGGAGATGGGGTTGGGGAGCTGGGAGGGTGAATGAGGCTGGGGAAGTAAGGCCTGGTGGGTATTACGGGCTTACCTAGAAAAGATGCTGGCACCAGGAAACTGGTGGCTGTGCAGTCCAGGGATGCAAAGGGAGGTGGGTGTGGGACCAGCCCCAGAAGCCTCTTGGGGACCAGGAAAGATGCTTCCACCAGGAAGTTGGTGGCTGTTCAGCCCACGGATGCAAAGGGAGGTGGGCGTGGGACCAGGCCCAGAGGGCTCCTGGGGACCAGGAAAGATGCTAGCACCAAGTCAGTGGCTATGCAGCCCAGGGACACAAAAGCACCCTGGTCATTTAAAATCAATTTTTCACATGGATTTGTGTAGACACAGATGATTTATTTCTTGAAATGTAGAAAATTGAATTATATATTAACTGACTTACAAATTCTGTACCTTCAACTTTGTAAAACCCTTTTTTTTTTTTTTTTTAGATAGAGTCTCACTATATAACCTTGGTTGGCCTGAGTCTCACTATATAGACCAATATTACCTCAATCTCCGTCTCACAGAGATCTGCCTGCCTCTGCTCCACAAGTGCTTGGATTAATGATGTAACCATACCTGGCTATAAAATATACTTTTATGTATAAAAACTGACCTAATAGAATAACCAAGTACAAAAATAACTGTACTGCTTGGCTGGTGAAATGGCTTAGTGGGTAAAGGCACCTCCTAACAAGTCTGATAACCTGAATTTGATCTCTGGGACCCACATGGTGGCAGGATTTCTGCAAGTTGCCTTCTGATCTCCACACATGTGCCACACACACACACACACACACACACACACACACACACACTCACTGCAGTCTATCTGCATTGCAGCATGTTTGGAAACACACTCGCACACTGAGACAGGTAGGATGTACTAAAGGAATTCAAAAGGAGTGCCCACAATCAAACAAATGTTCAATTTAAAATTCAGACAAATTAATTTTACATATATCTAAACTCAATAAAAGTGTTCAGAGTTTTGAGACTTTTACAAAGAACATTTATCATTTTTGTACTATTAATTGAAACAGTATAGTTAGATCTTTTATGAATGTCTTAACACAAAGAAAATGTTAGAAATAAAAACAAATTGAATGGGATTTTAGTCACTATATATATATTGCAAGTTGGCACCTACACTTTGATTTGTGTTTTTTTGTTTTTAAACCAAATTTTGAGTGATTGCTCTGGAAGCACATTTACTAACAAAATTTGAGGCAACTAAATTACCATCTTTGAAGTAGGAGACTGGAGTTCTTGAAATGGATTGGATAACCTTGTGCAATTCCACTCTCTGCCTACTTTTCAATTAGAAGGAAAATTAAGAGATAAGAAAGTGCTTTGTAAATAATTTTGGGTTATAAGCCACAAGATTACATTTTTATTTGAGAAAAGGAATATGCTATATTACTTAAATATTAGCTTCTTTTCCAATTTATTTTGCTTATATGAACAAGTGGTTAGAATAGACATAATTTTGTAGACTTTATGCTATCATGTTACATGTATTTGACACTAGAATTGTGTAGACTATGAAGTATGCCCCATGCTCCTTATTTATCATTTAAATTGGAATTTAAATGTGGGCACCTGCTTACTTTGGCTTGCTTAGTAAAGGCCCATATTTTGAAATCCCCATTTGCACATAGAAAGAAATGGATCATGAAGTTATTGAGGATTAAAACTTCAGGAGTATAGTAGATAAAACTCATCAGTGTGAACTTTGTTACAAAGGAAGAAGATATATTTGTAGAAATGAGACTTAAAGTATAAACATATTATATGAACAGTTTTGAAATTATATGTAAGTCACCTACCTGAAATTTTGAAGAACTCAAGTAGTGTCTCTTCAGTTCATTTGAATCTACCTATAATACAATCAAATGTCAATGAGGTTTAACAAGTTTCATTTATTTTGTCAGTTTCTAAATCTGTACTATTATTTCCCTCTACTAGTTTCTTCCAATCTCAGTCTATAATTGTGCTCCATCCTTTCATATTTTAATACAAACAGCTGTCCACAGAGCTTGCTTACTTTTTGTTTAGCATAGAATTCCCGGGAGAGTCAGCCATATTGCTTTATTCCACACCCTTTCCTTCCATTCATCCTTAAGTTATGAGAGTTTGGTGGAAATTTGTTTTACCACTTCTTTCATCTCACCAAAAAATGAACAGTGTAAAGGCTACAAATGACAATGTGAGTATCACACCCAGGAACACCTTCATACTTAGCTTTATGTTACGACACTCAGCCAGTATATTTTGATATAATACATGCACTTCTTGGGTATTTAAAAAATTTTACTTATTATTATTGTGTTTATGTGTATGATCTGTGTGTGTGGCTGAGCGTGCTGGTTTGTGTGTGTGTGTGTGTGTGTGTGTGTGTGTGTGTGTGTGTGTGTAGGTCAGAAGACAACTTTGAGGAATCAGTTCTCTCCCTCCACCTTTACCTGGGTTATGGGGATTAAACTCACATCTCCAGGCTTGTGTGGCAAGCGCCTTTACTCACTGAGCAATTTCACCATTCTTTGGGCCTTTTATTTAAACCAATGTACTTGGTTAAATTGTAATGTACTTGAAAACAGAATTGATTTTAACAACTAGTTAAAACTGGTACCTAAAATAGCCCAAAAGCTCAGTAAATACTGAATGTATGAATAGATAAAGGAATAAAGAGATGGATAAAAGTTTTGAAACATTTGACATTTCCTGAAACAAGTTTTGTCCTTAAGACTTTCTTCTTCCACAGAAACATCAGAGTCACTGTTGGTTACTTGCATGGGTCTAACTTTTTGGTGTCCTTCCTGGACTCTTCCACTGGACATTTAAAATGTAACATACCTCAAGATTTTATGTTCTCTCCTCTTTACGTTTAACGCCTGGAAAAGTCTCATCCATGTTTGTAGTTTCAAAGATCATGATACATATCGATGCTACTAGTCTCTACCACCCCATAATGTCACACCCACGAGCTATATTCAGCAAACCCAGATTCACCATTATTCTTCATTTCCCTCCAGCCTCATTGTGAGTCTCCTGGTATTGCAATTCTAAGAGCACACTCACCCCTGCTCATTAGTGACCTAGACTACTCTCTCTCAGCCCTCCTACACCAGCAACCAAGTTCTACAGATACTTTTCCATACACATTTTCTCTGTTCCTCAGCTCCTCTTCACAGTGATGTTTGTGCTTTAAGTAGTGCCCTCCTCCAGCCACTCTGAAATGGCAGGCAGGTGGTTTCCCAAAAACAAAGCACTTAACAATCCTGTTTATGTCAGATTCTAGGACGGCACATGATTTTAGGAACAAACTCAAGTTCTGTCTCATAGTTCACCAGGCTCTACTTTTTCTGACTCACTATCATTTTGCAGTTTCCTGCAGCTCTGTCTTGCAGTTCCTCAAAGGTGGCAGAGTTCCTCACTTTAACACCTTTGCTGGTGCTGTTCCCAGAGCTCAAATCATGTTTCCTTTATTGCAGGGGAGAAGAGGATAGCACCCACTAGACATCAAGATTGGACCACCTATGTAAACACTCACAGCACAAAATCTCACCACTGTCCTTCTGTTTGTTTCTCCCTCATACCTGAGCTATAGAAGAAAGTGGGGTATGTGTCTTTGACCTTTGTTTTCTCAGTTCCAGACAGTGTCTAATATGCAGGAGGCACTCAGTAAAGTGTCATATGTGTCACATGATTAGAAAGGCACTTAATATTAACAGTCAGACCTAAAAGAATAATGTTAACATGGGACTTACATTCATGTTTCAGATACATGTAAGACACGTTTTCTTACGTACTCTTAAATTGATAGATTAGAACTTAGGCACACAGCGCAGCATTGTGTAACAATTGCCACCCATGCTATTCAAGTTCAGAAGTTCTTAAAGTTTTCCAAGTAATATTAAAGATCACTTAGGTGGGGTTGAGAAGATGGCTCAGTTGGTAAAATGTTTTCTGCATAAGCATGAGGACCTGAATTTGGTGGGCATGGTATCATATATCTATAGCCTCAGTGCTGTGTGTGGGTGGGGTAGAGACAGGCAGATCCTTGAAGCTTAGTGACTAACTGGTATAGCCATAGGTTTAGTGAAAGACTCTGTCTCAGAAAATAAAGATGAAAAGCAACTGAGGAAAGACATTTGAGATTGACCTCTGGCCTTCACATACACATGCATACGCCCATAGAAACACACACATAGACCACACATACAAACACACAAAAATCCATTGGTCTACACAATTTCTGCTCCCTCTCTCCCTTTTTCGGTTATAATTTTTACCTATATACATACAATACATTTTGAAAAATATGTTAGAAAATGTGCAAGACATGCTCATTTAATGATTTATACTCTGAAATACAATGGCTTCCTGAGGCATAGGTAGACACAGGTTTAGTTGATAGTCTTATAAATCTTGTGCCAAGCTTATGTAAAATCTGCCTGCTTTTCAGCCTATGGTACAGATAGACACAACTCAGGTACTAAGCTGTTATGCTAAAATATTGCATTCTCCCTCCAACTAGGAAAAAAATTTTAAAGCACATTTATGCCTTTACTTTTAGGGTTTTTCTATAATCCTGTGATTGAATAAATGTAAATACAGCTAAAAATGCTTGATTAAAGGAAAGTGGCATTTAGTGATTCTAAAATCCCTGTTCTTTTGAGTAATAAATAAATTTGGCATCATTAGCCTTATGAGGATCAGTCTGTTTACTAGTGATAATTAGGCACTTATTTTAAAAATGTCACCTTATTTAATTTCATCTCTCTTTTAAGCCTACTTATTATGTAGACAACATTTCTTCAGGGGAGGCTTACTTTAGGAAGGATATGCTAATTACAACTAAATCCTTTTCTGACAGACAGTTTTTTAAGAAGCTCTACTTAGCTGTTAGTATATTTACTCATTCACCTCTTCTGATAAACAATTCTATAATTTTATATAGAAGAGAGTAGTACTTCACAAAGAATATCATTTGAAACTGTAATGCAGGTTGAAGAATTATTTAAGGAAGGAAAATCCCTGAGCCAAATTTACCATTCATTCACTCTTACAAACACATCGAGTATATGAGTACCAAGGTTAGGTAAGTATCTATCTTTCATCTATCTATCTATCTATCTATCTATCTATCTATCTATCTATCTATCAATCATCTATCTATCATCTTATCTATCATCTATCATTTATCTTTCTGACAAGAAGGAAATGTTAAATGTGTGGTTAGTCATTCACTGAATTCATTTCACAATTTACTGTGAACCTTCTATAAGCCAGATTGTGGGCTATGTATACATACCATCTTATTTAACCTTTATGATAGGTTTATAAGGTAAGAACTATCTTATAACAAAATTACTTAAAACTGAACAAAATTACTTAATTTAGCAATTTAAAAAAATTAAATAAAGGAAATTTCAATACAATACCTAGAATGCAGAGAAGGGAGGGGTTAATTTTCTTCAGGTCAATTTATAAATTGTGAGGGCTAAATGCTAAACACAAGTAACTATAGCACAGTACCTAACTGAATTGTCCTTAGATGGCCCTAAACATTTATACAGATCCTTTGTGAAACACAGTCAAAAGTTGTAAATGTGTTTCGTATCTGAATAATAGCCACTGTCAAGCTGTTGAGCTGAATTAGTTGGCAAGGGCACTTGCTGCCAAGTCTGACTATCTGAATTTGAGCCTTGGAAACCATATAGTAGAGGAAGAGAACCAACTTCTGCAAGTTGTCTTCTGACCTCCACACATACATCATGGTGCCCATGTGTATGCATCTGCACACAGGCACACACACATGCACAATAAAGCTAAAATATAATAATAACCACTGCTATTTCCAACTGGCTTTCTCCTGTACATAAGACAAATTACATAGGAGACATTTTTTCTGGTGTTTTGACCTCTGTTATAGCATCATTTTCAGATGAATGAATGTTGTGGAACACTTGCACACCTTTCTGATTCTCTCTATTGTGGCTGTTAGCAGCTTAATCTGTTGTCTGATACTCATCTGTTTTCTCTAGAAGGCTTGCAGAATTAATATTTCCATCTTCCAACACTCATTCAATATATAATAAATAAACACATAGCTGGCTAGGTAGGTATGCCTACCTAGTAAATGTAGGTACTTAAATATTTGTTGAGTAAATGAATGAATGCTCTAATGGTTTATCTTAAAGATAGCATGAACAGATGATTGCAGTGCAACCTTCCGGTTGGGAACTCAGTACACGTAGTCTTTGTACTTAAATGTAATCAACTTTCAAAGGCTAAAACTACCAACTCTGAATTAAAGGAACCATTAAACTTCTTTTGAGCAAACAGAGCAATTAGTTCCTGCTCTATATCTGTACCTTGTGATAATGCATTTTAAATAGAGCCCATTGAGTCTATTTTTATTGATTATTTTTCTTGGGTTTAACACTCTATTGTGTACAAAGACCTCTTAGAAAACTGAAAATAAAAGTTTCCCTTTGGTTATTTTGTCATTTTCCATTTTTCAAGCATTGATTTTTGCATCTAATGGAGGCCGACATAGTAGATTTTGGGGTGTTGGCTGTTTCTCGTTTGTTCCCCATCATCATTCATCAAGCTGCCGGCAAGCTAGGGACAGTATGGTGAGTTAACGAATGCTCTGGTGTCAGCACAAGGAGTATTTGGAGTAATTTTTGCTACAATTTTGGCTCTTGCCTTCAGAATTTCTTTCAAGGAAAGATGTTAAATATAAGGGACACTCCCAAGAAAATATTTAAAAATATAAAGAACTAAAATGACTCCTGCCAGTTTTTTGACCCTATAATAGCTCCTGAAGAGTCAAAAGAAAATGTTCAAGAGCAAGAAAAACAAACTGTCTTCCCCAGTAGCATGCTGTATGTTCTGGTAGCTGGTCCTTCCGACTGACATTGAAGGGCATGTTCTGTGAAGTCCTTGCTGTGGCTTGTGAGAAGGATGTCACAGTGGACATCAGGAAAATAGAAGCATTCTGCTGGTTAGCTCTGGAAGGGATGGAAAGGTAGATGCTTAAGACTTGGGCACCTGTTTGTGAAAATGCATTTTTCTTCTTTTGTTGTGCATTACTTGGATTGACCAAAATTCCAAACACAGAGAATAAATCTCAAAGAATATACTTTCTTCGAAGGAAAGAATGGTATCTGAGTTAGGCCACTGCATTTGATCATGAGAATGGGATGCGGTGAATTTGAAAAGTTAAAAATGATATTCATCAAAAAATAAGACAACTGTGGGCTTGTGGTTTGTGTATGACAAGGCATGTGGCTTCTCTGCGGCTCGATTCTTCTTTCGAGATTTATTTTAAATATGTGTAATGTGTATGTCTCTGTGTGTGTCTGTGTGCGGGCACGTTTATATGAGTGCAGGTGCCTACAGAGGCCTGAAGAGGGCGTCAAATCACTTGGAGCTGGAGTACAGGCAGTTGTGAACCTCCTGACATGGGTGTTGGGAACTGAAATTGGGTCCTCTGGAAGAGCAGTATGCTCTCTTAACTGCTGGTGGTTTGGTTCTTGAAGGAGAACTTTATTGTGCTCTAGGACCCTTATAGCAGTTTCTACTAGCATATTTTGCAATGGCATTAATCTATGTGATATCGTATGATAGCTGCTAGCTACATGTTATTGATTACTAGAAATATGGATAGTGTGGCTGAGAAATTTGAATCTTAATATTATTCAATTGTATAATTTGTATATACATATGCTTAGCAATGGCCCATATGGGTAGTACAGTGAAGTTACAGTGGTTAAAAGGAAGTTACTGCACTCATCCTACTGCATACGGTCTACTATTCATATGTAGTAGTTTGCATAGAACATTCCCCCATAGGCTCAAGTATTTGAACACTTGGTATATGGTCCCCAGTTGGTGGCACTGTTTGGAAAAGGTCATGGAAGCTTTAGAAGGTGTGACCTTGCTGGAGGAAGCATGTCACTGGGGTTGGGCTTTGAGAGTTCATGACTCATGCAACTTCCGGCTATTCTCTCTGCTTCCTGAACGTGTTGGAAGATGTGAGCTCTCAGCTTTCTGCTCTGGCTGCCTCCTGCCATGTTTCCTCTGCTGTGGTGGACTCTTTTCCCTCAGCATGGCTTTGTAGGCAAGGCATGGGTTTGAATCCTGGCTCAGCCACTTTCTAGCTTTGTGCCTGGAGCAAATTATCTAGTCTCTTCAAACTGTAGTTATGCATCTCTGACTGAGGCTAATGAGATAGTTTTTGGCACAGTTATTCAGAGTTGAGACATTATAAATAAGTTAGTCGGCATAATAATGATTCACAATACTCATTCATTGAGTAACAGTGTAGCTTTAAGCACTTTTCATGTGAAAGTTTAAACCTTCCCATCAACAGTATCAAAAAGAGGAGGGAACCAGAGTGCAAGGGGCACATGCTTTCTAGCACACAGCATTCAATAATTGCTTGGTAATTTTATTATCACTATCCTCTCTGATTGTTTCCTGTGGTTTCAGGGAGACAAACATTAAATAAAATGACATTGAAAATTTATTTTCCGTAATCCAATGAGACATTATTCATTTGTCAGTTTCTTCTCCCAAACCTTACTTACGATAATTTCTCCTCCTCTTACAAATTGGAGTCTGGGCTGGATTAATAACATATCACCAAGGTACATGATATCACATATGATGTCCACAATAAGCCAATAGTGTCTGTTGTCTGGGATTTGATAGGGAAAGACGAGGTGCAGTGGTATCAGCCAACAGTTCCAGTTATAGGCAACAGTGACCAGCAAGAGCCACAGGAGATAGAGCTGGTCTAACAAAACACAACCAAAGTCATCCAAATGACATTACATAAGCATTGAAGGAATTTCCTTGGTTAGTTTGATCAAGTTGAGGCACTCTGTGTGTATGTGTGTATGTGTGTGTGTGTGTGTGTGTGTGTGTGTACATCATATGTGCTTGTGAGTGGAGGACAGAGGTGTGGAGGACAGAGGTTGACATGAAGTGTCTTTCTCTATAATTCTTCTCCATATTTTTGAGACAGGGTCACTCAGTGGTCTAGGAAATCACCTATTTGCTAGACTGAATAGCTAACAAGCTCTGGGGAGCCATCTATTACATCCACTCAATGTTAGGGTTACAGACGTGCCACCAGCCTGGCTTTTATGTTGGTCCTGGGGATACAAACCCAGGTCTTCATGCTAGCATGGTAGACACTTAATAGACTGAGTCCCAGCCCTGAGGCACTATCTTTTGTAGATAAGCAATTTGCAATGAAGACCTCTATTAAATATTCAGCAGTTCTGATTTAGGAGGCCTTGTTCTGTACAAGGGAAGCAAGAAGATATTATCAATTGTTTCAGCAGTGGACAGTGTCCTTAGCATCCTTACTTCTTCTGGCCACAGAATCTGTTCCAGTGGGTAACCTCATTGCTTGGATTCAGGAAAGTGGAAACCCTGATAATTCAGGAGTTTTGCCTCACTTTAGCAAAGGATTTCTAATCCCCAGTAGTTAAGCTGCAGATTTGTATATGCAAGTGGAGAAAGGCTCCATCCTGCCAGTTGGGGGTGGAGGTGGGTTGGAGAGGGGAGAACCAGCCCACCAAGACAGTCTGGGTCCCTTCATGTTTCCCTTTGTCTTCCTCTGGAAGGAGGTAGGAGAGAATTTGAGTAGACAAATTAACTAGGTGATGTCATGAAAAAAGGTGTGTTAAAATTTTGGGGGATGTCAGGATACGTATTGCTAAATGCCTTGGGCTTTTTTTCAAAGGTAATTTGAGTCAGGAAGTGGGAAATCCTTCCACAGTACCTGTGTAGGAATCTATGCTTCTTGGTAGTTGCATTCTTTTCAGGTACTCTGTCACAGGTGCCTTCTGGAATCTGTAACACAACATGCTACAGCAACGTTCTTTTCTTAGCTCAGAATTCCTCTCTTTTATTGAAGATGTAGCTATGGATTTTGCTTTACAGGAAGAAAAGGGAAATTTAAAAAAACAGATTTAGTGAAAATAAATTTTCAGTGAGCAACAAGTTTGATAAAACTGGAATATTTGAAAGTCTTCCCCTCTGTGTAAGCAACTGAGCAAAACTGTGATGTCTAAGCTAGTGAAACATTTCTTTTTCTTTAAAAAAAAGATATTATTTTAATTTTATGTATATGAGTATTTTGCCTGCATGTATGTATGTGTACCACTTGCATACCTGGTACCCATGGAGGGCAGGGGAGGACACCTGGGTCCTCTGGACCTGGCGTTTCAGATAGTTGTGAGCTATCTATGGTACTAGGAACAGAACCTGAGACTTCTGCACAAGCAGCAAGTTAACTGTTAACTGCTGAGCTCTCTCTGCAGCCCCATGACATTTATTTTTCTATATGCATGTTATATGCCCTAAATATATAAAATAAGATAAATAAAAACAGTAGCATGAAAATATCGAATGAAATCAATAAAAACACTGAAATTTGGGAAACATACAAGTTTAAAACTCACAAGGTATCAGGGAGGTGTTACAGATCAAATGTCCACTGTCCACAGATTTTTAGAGTTAAAACTCTCTCAGGGAATTGGGGGGCACATGAAAGGGATGGGAAGGTTGGAGATGTTGTAAATTCAGTGCTCAAGTATGAAATTCTCAAAAATTAAAATAAAAATAAAAACCAACATGCTTATATTTCATACATATTCTTCAAGCTGTGGATAAAGCTCAAATATTCTTTTAAATATGTCTTTATCAAACTCTAATGACTATGATTTATCTTAACTGTATCTCTTTAAATATTAACTATTATATAGCACATAGTTTGTTTGGAAAACATAGCCTACCTCAAGTCTATCCCACACAATTACCCATTTGATTTGTACTTTTTTTTTAACTGAAACATTTTATTTATTACTTAAATATTGCATGGCGATCAAGGATTTAAACACTAAAAGATAGCATGTACAATATATATAATACATTAGTCATATTTCTCAATTGTTATTCAAATACTTCTAAATATTATTAACTTTTCTGAATTACCAGTTATAAAATCAGAACAATATTATGACTTTATTAATGGTACTTATGAATTTACAGCATGTGTTTTTATTTCCTATAGCTACATGATTTGTATGTTTTTATCTGTTATTAAGCAGTCAGTTTTTCTTCTCTCTAAATACCTTGTAAGTATCAATTATGGCATATATGGTTTTGTGCTCTATTCTTATGTTTTCATAACTATATTTATGTAATTATTAAGAAGGTTGATAATTATGTTTCCTCTTGTGTGATGACCTTTTCTCCACTGGATGCTCATGTATTATTCTTGTATTTTTATAATATGCATCTTGTATAGTATTGATATTATATAATATTTGCAGTAGCACTTGTAACTGCTGGTGGCTCCTGAAGAGAGGCTGGCCTGGAGGTCACCTCAGCAGGGTTCCCTGTGTGTCTCTGTCTCAGTGTTTTCTTGAGCAAGTTACCTAAAGTGCTGAGGAGTTAAGAATGTGCTCCAGGAGCACCCAACCTCCCTGATTTCCTATATTTTTCTTTTTGTTCTTTCTGATTTTTGTGTGTACAGTATGCATGTATGATGTATGTAAGCATGGGTGCACATGTGCATGTGTGTGGAAGTTTCAGGAGTCAGTTCTCACCCTCCATGTTGTTTTGAGACAGAGTCTCTCTTGTATCTGCTGCTTAGCTGTGGACTCCAGGCTAGCTGGCCTTCAAACTTCTGGGTGATTCTCTTGTCAGTGTCTCTCCTGTAGGAGTCCTTGGATTACAGATGTGCACTATTACATCTGGGTATTTACAGGGGTTCTGAATTTCAGTCATATGGCTTGCACATCAAGAAGAGGGTAACAGAGCCTCTGTATGGGTGCTGGGAATCAAACCCAGGTCCTCCAGAATAACAGCAAGTTCTCTTAACCCCTGAACCACCTCTCTAGCCCTCATTCTAAAATTTTGTGAGACACAGTTTTTTTTTCTTTTATTAATTGTGCCCCTCCTTTTTTTCTGCTGTTGTTTATTTGTTTTTAATGCTAGGGACTGAACCTGGGGTCTTACACATAATAGGCATGTAATAGGCTACATGCTTAGCCCTGCCCATTTGTATGTGTGTGTGTGTGTGTGTGTGTGTGTATGTTCGTGTGCACTGTATGTACGGGTGGGTGTGCGTATGTGTGTATATGGAGGCCAGATGACAAGCACCTTCCACGTTTCTTTATGAGACAGGGTCTCTCACTGGCTTGAAGTCAAGTAGGTTAGGCTGGCTGGCCAGTGAGACCCAGGGGTCCACCTCCTTTTGTCCTTTTGTCTCCCCAGGGATTACAAGTGTGCTCACACACTGGTTTTTTTAAATGTGAGTCCTGGTGATTGAACTCTGGTCCTCATGCTTGCAAAGCAGGAGCTTCACTGACTGAGCTATCTCCTTAGGCTCCTTCTCTTCTTTCTTTGGGACAATCCTTAGGTGTGATTTGTAACAGTTTTTTTCTCCCTGGTGAATCCAGCCCTAGGGTCACACTAATGCACCTTTGCCTTATTTTCCTTCTCATCTCTTGTTACTCTCAGCTTTCGGAATCACTCTCAAACTAAAATAATGTACCTGAAATCGTTATCTCAGGGTCTACCTTTGGGAACCCAGGCTGAATAATTTGCCAAGCACATGTCTCCTCATAACTCCTTTCTGCCTAATTCTTTGAGGCAATAATGCTTACCATCCTGCAGGCTGGCTTCAGGTGAGGATGTTTCTGCCTCTGTCAAGTTTCTCTTGTAAATGGCAGTTCTTTCATGTATTCTTACCAGGTTATGTAGCTGGGTATCAGCATATTCATTTATAATTGGGGCGTCAAGCAATTTGCTCTTTAAGCTAAATGAGGGGAACAAAATGAAGACAGAGATAGGCCATGGGGAGATACATTTGATTTTCTTCCTCCTTATATTTTCAAGATTATTAATTTCCCTCTTTGTAATTGAATGAAATATTGAAAATATTAAAATATAATGAAAATAATTCTGGGGAATAAAGATTTGTCATTGAAAAGTTAGAAGCCGTGTGCTTTCTCCAGCAACATTCACACTAAACGGGAAAAATTAGCATCCCAGAGCAGCAAATGGTCATTCTTGACAATATGGGATCTTGATGACTATGGTTCTCTCATTAAACTCTGTCACAACAAGCAAAGCTGGCGTGGCAGGCAGAATCTAAGATGACCACAAGACTTCGTGCTGTATGGTATGCTTGCTCTGCATGACTCTGGGGAGGATGAATATTGTGGGCTTTACTTATGAAGTAGCACATGGGTTATGGGCTGATTCACTACATGATGAAGAGGTCAAGCAGTGGGCTGATCTAATTGCATGACCCTTTTGAAAACAGAGTTTCTCCAACTGGCAACAGAGAAGTTAGAGATTTGAAGTGCAAGGAGATGGCACTTGAGAGGAATTCCATACTGCTGACTTTGAAGAAAAGGGGGGCCACTGATAAGACTTGCAGGAGGCCTCCATCACTAACAGTAGTCTCTGGATAGCTGATAACAAGGAACTAGGGACCTTCTCCCTACAACCACATGGATCTGAGTTTTGCCAATAAATTGAATGAGTTTAAATATATACCCTTCTCTAATGCCTCTGAATGAGGGCCTCGCCTGCACTGGCTATCAGTTTGATTTCAGCCTTGTGAGACTTTCACCCAAGAATCCATTCATACTCTCAGGCCTTGTATCCATGAAACTTTGAGCTGATGAATTGATGGTGCAAGCCTCCGAGTATGGTGATTTGTTACACAGTAATGGAAAAACAGTACAACTAGTGTCTTTATTAACTTCCATTCTGAAAAAAAATATTCAGGCATACTAGTCCAGAGTACAGGTTATAAGCTAGTGTAGTTCATAAAGATCTGCTGTGCTCTCTCTTCCTTCTGCTTTCTGACTCTGGGTTTCAAATTGGAACTAGGAAGCCTGTAAATTCTACTTAAAAGGATTCTAGAAGAAGCCTGTATTCACAAATTTCTACCCCTTCCTTCTTCATGAATGTGTCATATATGTAACTATTTATAGACTCCCAGATTGTTTGTGCTTTTCTTTCTTCTCTTTTTATTAGTGTAAATTTTCCCTCTTCAAAGGTTTTACATTAGGTAAAATATTCATAAGACCTTAAGACTATTGAAGACTAAGTTGCAATCTTCTAGAATAAAATTAGATAAATCTTAAAAATTATAAAAGTAGGTGGAAAGAAACCAGTTCTTAAAAGCTGCAAATGTTTTCTGATAATGATTATTGAAAATTACATCTCCTCAATTCCTTTTTAATATGTTAAATTTGTTTAAAAGGATACATATAAGCATAAAGTACATATTTCCGGGATATTATATTATGCTTTGATTTTTTTTCTTCAAATCTAAAGTATGGTTAGAAGTTTACCAATTCATTAAGCAGTTGTTCACTTCTAATTTATGTACAGCTGATACAGGTAAATTTGAGACTGGTCCTCTGGGTGCTCATAGTCTAATGGGGAACTCCATGGTATCAGTAAATAAGACCAACTACTATGAAATACTTTGAGTACTATGATAATAAAGCTTGGGTTGTCAAGGAGTAGCTTTGCAAGGGGATTTCATTTAATGTTAAGGGATTAACAGACCTTTAAAGAGAAGTGACAGATAAGTCACCCTGAGAGCACTATACTCAAAGATGTAGAAAAGAATGGCATTCTCAAGATGCATTTAGGTGTGATTGAAGCAGTATGTCTGAGTAGTGGACCAGCTGGTAGAATGCAGCAGGAGCGATAGTGGCTGGGTCTGCAAAGCTAAGTTGAATAGGGTAAGCCTATGATAGTACCATAGAACCCATATGAGCTTGACATTAAAGTTGCAAAATATACTCAGTGTAGGCTATAAGCAAGGATTACAGTCTACACTGAGGATTGTGGACAGACGTTTTTGTGTTTTGGGGAAGTACAAATGAGGGGAGGATAGGTTGAAGAGAGACAGCATAAAGGCACCTAATAGGCTAGGTTAGAGTTGGTGGGAAGAAAGATAGAGAGATTGAGGAAATATTCAAGAGGCAGAAATGACAGTTGTTGGTGAATTTTCTAGAGGCATAGTTAACTGAAGAACCAAGAATGATTCATGTGCTTTATTACAGGATATCAGATTCATGAAGATGACAACATCCGTAGGAATCCAGAAAGCAGGTTTCTCATAACTGTGACAAAATACCTCACTTAGTATATTAACTTGAAAAGTTAATGAAAAAATGCCTGTCAGAAATAACTCAAGGGTTTCCTCTCATTGAGTAGGCTTTAGGTAGCTGTTGATGGACCCCAAGATAACAGTGCCCCTACTGCACCAATGTTGTGTATTGTGTCGGCCATTGATGTGGTTATTTGATCTTGAAGCTGGTGTTGGACCATCGATTGATGTTTTCGCTTGCCACCTTCACAGTGCTCTCCAAAGCTATGAGAGCTAGCCTTCAGGGGAAGTGGTTTCAGGTCAGTTCCAGCTCTATTGCTCCAAATCTTGTGTCCAAAGTATGTTCTGTCTTCAGTAGTAGGGTCTTACCTTCAATTTCTAGAAGGCCATCAAGGGCTGTGGCAATAACCAGTATAATTTTGGGTCACCCTGGCCAAAAATTCATGGAAGGTTTCTCCTGTCTGGCACTGTTTCTTGTTATATAGCCTTTAACTATACTCATGGCCTCATGTAGAGATGCTGTATGTGTTATTTGTCATTAGGTTGCTGAACTAATATGATTCCCTCTGGTTTTTTAAACCTAGCTAGGCATTATTTATCTCTCCTTTCTCTCCCTGTCTAACCCTTTCACCATGGTACTGTAAATATAACCAAATACGCATGGCTGGAGAGGTCATAGATCTTAGAGAAAACCCCAAGACTGTCACATCCCTAGACTAATGTCATTTCTTGCTATGTACAAAATATGTATCCTTATATTTACACACAAATATCCCAGTCACCACTCATCAAAGAATCTTATTTTGTTCTAGTCGGAGACTATTATCATGTACCACAACTGGTCACACACAGACATTGTCTGTGAATTGCCTAGGCCTAAGTGACACATCTACAATGCAACCTCGAAACCTAAGACACATGGGACATAGGGAAGAGGTAATGAAGATGACACTAATGAATCTCAATTCTCATTAATGAAGATCCTTTATGCAACAGAGGGACAGAAACACAAAAGGTCACAAATGGGCAAAATGTAGAGATTAAAAGTCTGCAAATTGCTGGTCCATGGACAGAACTCTGACATTAAACTTCACCCAGCCAGGGCTCAGGGACTATCGCAGAAGAGGGGGCAGAAATTGTAAAAGCCAGGGAGGAGGTACATGACCATATCCAAACAGTCCTACAAACTCCTGGGACCCTGCTCATATGAGTCTATGGCAATGGTGTCAGCATACACAAGTCCCATACAAACTCAGGCAGACAAAAAGCCAGCATAGAACTGGGGAAATGAACAGCAGACCCCAATCTTAGCTGAAGAAACATTGGCAGCTGGGTGAGGCAGAGCTAATCTTCCTAAAAAAGAGACTATAGATAGGCTGACTAGACCTCAGTGGATGGACTTGCAAAGGGGAACATCTGGGGACACTGACTTGGCTCTTTGAGCCTTAACATGGATGGCAGAGTATATGGGTTCCAGTGGGGAGGCTGTGGGAGCATGCTGGAGGAGATGGGCATATAAAGATATTAAATTGTTTGAGATATTATGTATAAAATACACAAAATTCAATAAAAACAGATTAAAAAAAGAAATAACCTAAGGGAAGAAGGATTTATTGTAGCTCACAGTTTCAGAGAATCTCCATCTATCATGGCAGGGAAGGCACGGTTGAGGAGGTGGCTCAGTGATGCAGTGGGAGCTGGTGGTTACTTTTTAACATGACTTGGACAAAGAGACCAAGAGTACAGACTAGAACCACAGGGACCTGGGTATAATCTTCAAGGTCTACTCTTAGTGACCCAGTTACACCCCATATTCTGAAGGTTCTACACTTTCCCAAGAGTGCCACCAGCTGGAGACCAGGTATTCAAACACATGAGACTGGGAGGTGTGTTTCAGATTTAAACCTTTATACAGATGTTTGTATGTAGGGGGTGCATGGAAAAAGTGAGGTCTTATTTTGGTATATGTGCTCAGTTCAAGGTGTTAGTAGGATCTTGAATAATATGGTCTTATCTGTGTTGCCCAGGAGGCATTCCAGAATATTGTTCTTGGGGCAGGACCTCGGTCATCAGGGTATAAGGGGTATTTGGAACACTGGATGTGAATAGCCTCATTGTAGACTATGTGATCTAAAGGTCAATGGCCCTGTCTTTTCTTTCTTTATGCTCGAGAAGAACTTGGACAAGATAGATTTTTAATGATTGTTTATTCAATAAACCCATTACTTCCTACCTTCTGACTTTATTTGATTTGCTTTAATTCTTTAAAAAAAATCTATAAAAAGCAAAGTCGAGAGTTGTTGGATCATACATTAAAAAGTCAGATACTTAAACAGTCAAAATGCCTAACTCAAGTCCTGAGATCTGAGGAGAATAGTTCTTTTCTGGAATTATCTACAAGCCCCAATTGACTGTATAATTGTCACTTAATAACACTAGTTAATGTAATTGTACCTCACGGGTAAAACGCTGGAAATACTATTACAAAGCATGCTAGTGTTTCATATATTTCAAATATATTTTCACTACCACATATTTTTGTGTATTAGTTGGAACATTAATATGTTAGTCTATTTCATTTTCTTTGTTGCTGGCTTCTTTTCTAGGGAATCATTGCCCATCTCCTCTGCCTGTGTGCATAGAGAAACTATGGATGTTTCTCTTTATTCTGTGACTAA